TACAATGTTTCTCTTCTAAATTTTCATCTTTAAAATGTATATTCAATATGAGAACTAAAATCAAACTTTTTAAAATAAAATTGTCCTCTTAAATACAAAAATAACTTTGCTTATCAAACAGTAACCCCCTGAGGATACCTCGTTTAAGATGTACTTTAGCTGCTCTTTCGTCAAAATTGCTCTAAAAGCACAAATAATTTAAATTCTGGCCTCAACTCTTATATTTTAAATATATTTTTGAATCCTAGAAAAATAAGGATAAATCATCTTTAATAGTTTTTACTATATTTATAAAATTTCAAAATTATATTAGGTCTTAACTGACAAATGAGGGCTGGGGTGGTGTGGGCACTAAGATGCGTAGTGCACAGCCCAGAGGTCATAAGTTTGAAGCCATAGCAGAAGTGTTCATGGTGTGGCCTGTCAGATTCCCACAAATCTGCAAATTCTGCTAAAAAAAACTTGTCACAAGGAGAAGGAAAGGAAGCTGACAAATTGGACTTATTTTTAAAGTATTATTGTTAAAATAAATCTTTGATAACTTTCCTTATTCCTCAGCATTTTCATAATTGCAAAATATTTTCAAGGCTTCATTATACATTATGTAGTACATATTAAGTTTGCAAGGGAATATATTTCTGGCCATCAGTGGAGATCTCTAGATTATTACTACAGTAGTAGTAATAGAGTTAAATAAACTAGCCTTAAAGTAGTACAATTAGAAGGCCATTTGATAAATGTATATATTTTTAAAATTTTAAGAGGCTGATATGTTTGTAATTTTGATTTCCTTGAAATAATTTACCCTTTCCAATATTATGGAGTATTATAATCTGTATAAACTGCACAACATTATTCACAACATTTAATATCTTAATCTTGCAGCTGATCTCCTGTTCTGTAGGAAAACATAATTGTGTGAAATACTCTGCCACCTGTGACTATATAAGAACAGTAGGGGATTTGAGTGCTACCTGACTAGAGATCTTGAGAGATTTTTCACATGGTACCTAGGCACCTCACTCCTATTTATGCCTTTTGGAAATTTCTCTGTCTTTGTCTTCCCCTTGCCACTCTTCAGTAGTGTGGAGGGAAAAGTATCAGCCCCACTAAACTCTTTTGTTGCTTCACTCCAGCCAGCCAATATAACCTTTTTATCGTGAATAATCCCTGA